AGCCTAGGCCCCCTAGGCTTGGGGGTGGGAGGGAAGGGCTTGCCAGCCAGGTCCCCTATACTAAAGTTACATCACAAAGTCTAGGCTAGGCCTAGCTAGGCTATACACAATAATGACATTATTTAGGTAGACAGGGCCTAGTCTATACACCGGCGAAAAATATAATAAGACAAAAACGTAGGATATGCCTTGGCTTATGCCCCTAGCCAGAGAGTTAACTGGCGATCCAACGCTAGTTCAAGAAACTAGGCCAGCATACGCTTAAACAAAAAGGCCTACCCTAGGCCTACGTATCTAGCCTAGGCCTAGGCCCAGGGATGCAATGGTTTTGGCCGCGAATTAGGCCTAGCACAGTAGTATAGTTGGGGAATTCAACAACAGTTATACACAAGTATAAATTACTTACTTTTACTTCACTGTGACTTTGACAAATTTTCTTAGGCTCCATGGTCCGATCATCGCTAGCTAGCTTCATTCAAACTGGTATTTCTACTGAGTATGCGCACACACTTATTAAGTAAAAAGTACCGCAATGGAGCATTCAAACGTCTTAAAAATAAAGTATAATTAACAGTGGGTCAGAGGGGAATCCAGGGCATAATTATCTGCCCAGGTATGTGGCATATGGGGCCCATGTAGAATGAACATAAGAATGGTCATGCATTTTCCCAGATATTTGGCACATGGGCCCCATGTGGCGTACATATTCCTACAGCTATCTGCCCAGTTACTTGGCATATGGGGCTATATATGTAGAGTAAACACAGGCACAAATATTATTTCCTATATATTTGACACAATAGGGCCTATGGGAATTTGGCATATAGGAATTTGGCATATTGGACCCATGTAGATTGCAATATGAATTTTCCCAGATATTTGGCATATGGGTCACATGTAGATTAAATGTGGCCATTCCCATAGTTATCTTCCCAGTTATTTGGCATATGTAAATGTGTAAATTAAACTCTAGCTTAAGCCCATGTATTTCCCCATTAACACATGGGCCCCATGTGGAGTAAATGCGGGTATTATTTCCATAATTATCCGCCCAGTTATTCGGCATATGGGGCCCGTGTAGATTGAACAAGAGCATGTCCATATTTATTTTCCCAGATATTTGGCACATGGGCTCCGTTTAGATTAATGTGGGAATTCCCATAATTATCTGCCCAGTTATTTAGTATGTGGTGCCCATGTAGACTGAACATGTGCATGCCAATATGTATTTTCCCAGATATTTGGCACATTGAACCCATGTGGATTAAATGTGGGCATTCCCATAATTATATGCCCAGTTATTTGGCATATGGGTCCCATGCAAATTAAATATGGGCATGCCCATATGTAACTTCCCATATATTTGGCATATGGGCTCCATTTAGATTAAACATGGGCCTCCCATATTTACTTGCCCAGGTAATTGACATATTGGGCCCATGTAGATAAATATGGGCATGCCCATATGTATTTTCTCAGATATTTGGCACATGGGCCCCATGCGGATTAAATGTGGGCATTTCCATATTTATCTGCCCAGGTATTTACCATATGGGGCCCATGTACTTTAAATATGGGCATTCCCATATATATTTGCCTATATATTTGGCATATGGGGTCCATATGGGTAAACCATGGGAAAGGCCCATATGTGATTGCCCAGACGGATCCCATAAGGGAAAAATATGGGGTAGCCCATAAGACTTTTCCCAGATATTTTGCATATGGGCCCCATGTGGGATTGTTACCTGGGGGGGTTTTACAATCTGGCGTAGAACCACCAAGAAGAAGCCAACACGAAAATCTTCCTGAATCCTGTATGCAAAGCATGCTTTAACAAATAACAACCAAGGCATAGCAATCATCCGTTCCCTTTCTCGAGACATCGATATTACAGACAATTACACCCCGGCTTTCTTTCATGAAGAACAAGAGTATGTCTTACTGCTGCTTGGAGTTAAGGAAAAAAGTGTAAATCAAGCAAGTAACATATCATTGTTGCCACTATGTTAGCAGAATCTAGAGCTTCAGATACTTAATCGTTCAAGAATGAAAATAAGCAGAGGTAAATGACTGTCAATAAAAATAGTTGATGGAACAGATGGAATAAACAAATTCCTGTGGAAGTCCAACAATTGTTCATACGATACATACAAAGACTTTCAGATTGCAGTGATAAAAGCGATACCTGAAGATTATTGCTCAACATAGGGCTACACAGTTAAACAGTACAAGACAAATATGTAGTAAATGAATTGATGCCTTCTTTATACATGAAAATTGTGGTAGTTGTCTGGAATACCTTGTATAACACACAGAAATAATGAAAAACAACCGGATATTTGAAAGGAAGCTGGAATTTTTTTTATGATTCTGGTGATATTTTCCATTCTTTAAAACAGAAAAGGGATATAAGGGGGCATTTTTACTTACATTTTCAAAAGCGAGTTAGCTTACACCCCTAAAATATGTTGTTTTAGGTTTAAAAAGTAAACAGAAGTTATTACATTCATGTTTTTTAAATTAAACAAATTTATCTAGGGTATTGAAGCTGCTGTTAAGTTGTTATTTATTTTTGGCGGCCATTTTAAAAAGCGCCCTCAATTGCCTCCCAAAATCTTCAAATTAATAACTTTAGCTAGTTATACTTTACTCCTATCATTACAAAAGTTGGTCAAACCTATCTCTTCTGTGCTTATTTTACCCATATATGTAGTTTATTGGATTTTGGTGGCCATTTTGAAAAAAGCGCAATCACGCGAAAGTTCTCAGGTTACACCTCTTTTACCTCACATATTCCGATTCCCGATAAAAAACTGGTCTAGAAAAACCATATGAAAATTTCTACCTTTAAATGTTGGCTAGTTGAATAACTTGGAGGTAAGGCGTGGAGCCGAGATGTGTATAAGAGACAGGGCACACGTTACATTATCTTGTTCAAGTTTAAATCCATCAGCACATGAGCAATTATAGCCCGGAGCTGTATTAGTGCACTCTTGAATGCAGTCGCTAATTTCAAGAAGACACTCATCGATATCTGAAAATAATACAGTAAAGTTGCTTACACCATGTATACCTACCTTTCCCTTTATATGTTATCTAACGTGCTGATAAGTGATAAGCAACATAGCTCGAATCGCACAAGCCAAATTGAAGTTAACATACAATGCATTGTTTATCTGTTTTTATGTTTGTTTTTTTTTCAACAATTTTTGTTTGTAATTTGTTTCTCTCCTCTTTGGGATTTTACCTATTTTTCTACTGTAACTTCCTTAACGGTTGATCTTTTGTGATTTAATTGTGTTTAAATTATTATTATTATTATTATTTATTATTATTATTTTACTATTATTATTATTATAAATATTATTATTATTAATATTATTATTATTATTATTATTACTATTATTATTATTATTATTAACATTAACAACTAAAAGTTTAAAAATAGGGGTAATAATTAAATTCTCTCATGTTAGATAACTTTGTCACACCCAAATTACTGAATTTTTATTTTTAATTAATAATAAAACATTGTTATTTCAAAAATAATTTATACTAACCTTGGCATGTTTCTCCATCCTTTATAAAGCCACTGTTGCAAACGCATTCAAACGTCCCCGGACCATTTCTACAAGTGGAGTTAGGCCAACACAACGTCGCATTGTTTGAACACTCGTCAACATCTACATTATTAATTAAAATAAATAACAATCAAAATATTATTGTTTATAGTCAGAACATTATCCGTCAACTCCTGGTATCAATGACCAAAAAATCAAATACTCAAAAAGTCATAGTTTCCTTGATAGGCCTATGCCATTACTTTATTCAATCTATCAATAGTTCCATTCAATCAACTGAGTAACAGGGGTGGCGCCAGCGGGGACCCCGTCGGGGAGAGCTAGTCCCCCTGTCGGGTAGAAAAATCACAATTCGTCGGGGAGAAAAATAAATTATATGTATTTTCTAAATATTAGTAAACTCTAAAATCAATTAAATAAGCCTTTGAAACCCCTAAATTGTCAAGATTTTTTGGGTGCTTTGCCCACTGGACCACTTCCGAAACGTTTTAAGCGATGCTCGACCACACCCACTTTGCTCTCGTCGGGGAAATCTGCCACCTCGTCGGGGCATGGCCCCCCATCCCACGTCAGGGACCTCAGAACTCTCGTCGGGCAAATCCTGCGCCACCCCTGCTGAATCACCTAATCAGTCGAACTATCTGTATAGCACCTGGATTTTATTCATATATTTATTAAGGTATAAAAAAAAACGACAATACAAAGTGTACAAAGCTAAAAGGCTTGCATAAAATACATATATAATATAAACCAGGATCACCAAACGGAACAAATACCTTACTGAAATACCCAAGAATTTTAAGTATATTAGAAATAATTAATAATTAGAATTTAAAAAAAAACTATACAATATGATAATACAAAAGGATAGAGCAACATTATAATTATATAGAAAACATACACAATAGATATTACAAAAGGATAGAGCTACATTATAATTAGGCTATAAAGAAACGAACTACAAACAATGTTTAATGGCATTTTGATATTTAACCAATGATTGTAATACATACAAGTATTATATTTACCACCAATGGAGGTGTTTTTTCATACAAAAAATTAGTATCAAGTGCCTTAAGTATGTACATTGCGTATTACGCATTTACTTGTTACTTGTCACATAGCACTTCCACTGAAGTCAGCAAAATCCCTGAGTAGAGCTTGCATAGAACCAAACACAAAAGTGTGCAAAATTAAATAATGCAACAAAGCAGTAACTTGAAGAAAAAAGTTCAATAAAAAATAAGAAAATGAACAAAACAATAAACAAAAGGATCTCAAGCAATGTGAGAGGAGACTATTGAAATAGGTGTGTTTTAGATAGGCTTTGAACTGCCTAACTGAATGTCAAGAACTGAGCAAATTTGGCAGACCATTCCAAAGTTGGGAAGAGACGGAAATGAATTGTCACCAGTCAATTTATGGTAGACCCGTCGAACAAGTTGGATGGAGTTGGAAGATCTCGTTATCTTAACAAAAGCATTACCTTAAGAAACTTTAATGGGCAAATACAAGGGTTTGCACCACTGGCCTCATTAGAGAAGTTGGTAAAGCATCCTAACAGTAATCGTGAAATCTCAGTATCAGATTCCGACGGGAACAATACGTTTTTTTTAAACACTTACTAGCATCTTTATTCATCAATATGGAGGGGTTCCTTCGTAACTATGTTCCTAATATGTGCCCTATTAACATTCATTGCATATGACAGACTCATCGCATCTCGATTGTAATACACAGTTAATCAAAATACTTAGTTTATCGTTATTTTGTTTTTATATCTTTATATATTAGAAGCACCCACAGTATTATATACATTTAAATAAAAATCTACCACTGACTGCAATACATACCAAATGGTAGAGTGTACGAACGGTAATCAAAAGATATTCGGTTCAAATACCGATGGAAACAATACATTTATCTAAAAAAATTCAAAAATATATTATCGGTTTTTTAAGAATTCCATTATAGTCCAAAAAGTTTCATTAGCAACCAATATTTTTATAACTCAATCAATTGCTCAATAAATAAATTAATTCAATTTAAACAATCTTTTAAAACTATGCATGTATTCAAAATATATTAAATTCAGAATGAGCGTTTTTAAATACACACGACAAATTGAGAAGAGCTTCTTATACAAATTTTAAAAGAATGCATTTAACTAAATGAGAAAATAAACCAATAATTAGAAACCACGCGAAATGGCATGATTACTTGTATCCTTGTAAGTCTGTTCCTTAAAGATGTAGATTTAGAAATGCTAAACATACCTTTACATGTATCTGTACCATTGGCCGTAAATGATGAATAGAAACCATCTCTGCAAATGCAATCCTCAAGATCTTCCGAACAGGTAGAATACTCTGGACATTCCTTTGTATCGCACACATTGATTTCTTGAAATAAGATATAAATTGTGCAGTGAATTTAATAGAGATATGATTAAATATAAATTCTAAAATGAAATGTCCGAACAAATTATCTTTCAAATTATTATTAACTTATTTAAATGTTGGCTAGTTGAATAACTTGGAGGTAAGGCGTGGAGCCGCTCACTACAGTCATGGATTATAGTCTCCCACCTTCACATTTATCCTTACCTTTACTTATATTTAATGTATTTTTCACGGTTCATTAAACCAACATGAACATATAAATTATATATAATATATTTTTAATTTACTATATATTATTTATAAAAATATAGACACTGATCATTAAGATTTCATTCAGGTTTATTTAAAACTGATTCTAACAAACTTCCAATCATAATCTCAAGAATTATGTCATTAGCAATATCACTGTCCTTTCCTACCTTCTCATCTTAGTAATATTGGTAACATTGGGTCTACTACGTATACATTTATCACCATTGGATAGTTTTTTCCACTCACGATACATTTTTTTTAAATGTTAATTGTTGATCTAAACAATATTATACAAGATATGATTACAAATATGACCTAATGACTTACTGTTACAAATCCTTCCGTCTCCCTCGAACCCTTCGATACATTTACACTGATATCCTCCTTCAGTGTTACTACAATTAGCATTCTTGTTACAGTCATGTCTGGACAAGTTACACTCATTAATGTCGTCACAATGAGTGCCATTAACGCTAAACCC